TAAACTTTCTGCTGATTTTAAACAGTCCTCTCCTGTCGTCACTTCTCGTGCTTCCAACAAAAGAATTGGGTTAATTTCTAACACTATAGTCCATTTGTGTGAACCAGAGCTCCCCTTGTTTCAATGTGTTAAAGTCTAGGTGTATGTGTGTGTGTGTCTCTCATGTGGTAACTTGGTCTTGATCAAGCACACAGAAAAATGGGTTAACTGGGTTGCAGGCCCCCTATGTGTGTGTGGGACAATAAATATGCTAAATTGGCCAAGTGGTCATCTCAGGTGATGAGACCCCCTGTGTGTGAAAGACACCCCCCGGTGAGGCAGAACTTGGGATATGCTATGTGTGTCCAGGTGTGGGCTAGCGGGGCTCTGTTAAAATGTAAATAGGCTGTCTGGTTGTCTGGGGGATGCAGACATTCAGAAGTTGCAGAAAGCAAGCAGATTCTACCTCATTACAATTTAAGACATATAAGCAAGGAGAATAAATGTATTAGAAAATAACCAAAGCTCAGTAGTTCTGCACAATAATCAATACAGCTGTAATATCTATAGACAAGGAAAATAAAGTTATGAAAGGTAACTAAAGGGAACTACAGGTATGAGAAGTAGCTAGTAGTTTATAAGACTCAAATCTTACAGATACCTGATCTAGTCATTCGCAGCCACTGTCAGGAAAACTGCAAATACACCTGTGACAGCAAAAAGAGGTTGATCTGAGCAGGTGTTATTGTTATTTCGGTCAAAACGAGCACCAAAACCGCACTACGCTGCCTAATTAACATACACACTGCCTCACCTGCGCCTCCCCTCCCACCTCAGCTAAGCGCAGTCATTCATGGCAGGAAAATACCAAATATGTCAATGCGCAAGGAAAAGTAGGCATGTGCCTGAGGAAATATGCAACTGTGTTTGAAGTGATGCAGAAACTGTGCTGGCAGGAAAACAGAGACATATATCTTGTGTTTCTTTTGGCTTATTTATAAGTACTTGGTGGCAAAACCTTTGTTGGCAATCACAGAGGTCAGACGTTTCTTGTATGTCTGTGCAGATTCTCAGTCATCCAGGTCATAGTAAGCTGAAAAAACCTAAAAAAAAATCAACTGGACCAAGTTTCTAGGTCAAAGATGTTTCACCTCTCATCCAAGAGGCTTCATTAGTTCTGACTGGAACCAGAGATATTTATCCTCCTTGGTGGTGTTTCAGTCTTTTGAAGGCCAACAATGTCCCTTAATGACTGAGTCGTTATAGCCCAGTATTGGTGAGAGTCATTACCTGTCTTTGAATCCTCCCCTGTTGACCAACGCCTATTGTCCTGGTGGGCATGTTTGGGCAGAGATCTCAAAACAGGATTGTAGATGGAAGACAAGTTGTGTCTTAGTCCACCACCCCTATTTAGTGAGGGGTGTTCTATTTTTACAAAAATAGCTTCCTTAACTCCTCTCTCAAACCAGCAATGTTCTCTGGAGAGGATCTGGACTTCACTGTCACAGTGAGGCTGCAAATTCCAACCAATTCTGGTTTGATTTTGGAAGGAAGGCAGCAGTGGGAAAGATGTACTGTACATACATATTACAAGTGGTCACACCAACATGGTGAGCTACTAATAGTGGCTAGTATTCACCATGAATGAACAAATATCTAAAATGTAACCATGATTTTCTAAAAGACAGAAATGAGGATAAAATATGTAAATATATGAATATGGTATATTCATGAAGAACAGCGTTTTACCTATAAGCTATCATTTCTGTATAGCTTCTTCCGGTTCTTTCAAACCAGGAACTCTCAATGAGACGAAAGAGACCGCTTTAGATTTTATACAAAATAACCGTGCTGGTTTATTCAGAGGATCACAGGTAAAATTCACAGGACACGTCCAGAGCTCTCTCACCCCTCTACCTGCGCGCAGGCAGCAGAAAAGCCGAGCGCGTCTGGACCCAACCACCTATATAATATTATTCATTTTTGGGCTAGCCCATGCTACAAGGGGCGTCAAACCGTGACGCCACCCGATAAGCAAGCTTTGCAGCTGCTTTATCGTTCAGCCAAAACATGAGGAAAAGTCAAGGTGCGTGACTGTTGTTTTCGTGGTGTGTATCTAAACAATGGGACATAACCTTACACTTTAAGACAAATATTAAGACTAGCATTACAGTTGACCCTAAAAGCTCTTTTCCTGTAACCTTGGCGTGCCTGCAATTTTACTGCAGGCTAATAGTTACATCAAACTAGTCACCCTGTCTGCACTAAACATCTTCTAATACAACAGATCTCTAATCCATATCTATCTAACTAAGAAATAACCTAACACCTCTCTGTTGCCAGCTTTGCAGCTGGTCATAGCAGTAGTCAAAACATGAAGCAAATCAATGTGTGTGTGTCTGTTGATTAAGTGGTGTGTAGCTAAAAACATTCTCACACGACCTCTAGTGACATGTCGTGACATTAAACATAAGAACATATTATGGCTAAGGCAACAACACACAGCTTTAAAAGATAATTTTTCCACAACAAACCAGAACTACAGTATTAATCTTAGACAAAAGCTACACAATATGTGCATAGATTGAGGGTACAGCATGTACTTTGCAGGTAAACACAGTACAATGTGCATGCATTGCTAAACTGTACAGAAGTATACAGTAAATTATAAATATTGTTTTAATTTTGATTGCAATACAGATTATGGAAAAGCGTGGGAGGCACTGAAACTGCTCACCCTTCACTGCCATCTCTCAAAACAGGATTGTAGATGGAAGACAAGTTGTGTCTTAGTCCACCACCCCTATTTAGTGAGGGGTGTTCTATTTTTACAAAAATAGCTTCCTTAACTCCTCTCTCAAACCAGCAATGTTCTCTGGAGAGGATCTGGACTTCACTGTCACAGTGAGGCTGCAAATTCCAACCAATTCTGGTTTGATTTTGGAAGGAAGGCAGCAGTGGGAAAGATGTACTGTACATACATATTACAAGTGGTCACACCAACATGGTGAGCTACTAATAGTGGCTAGTATTCACCATGAATGAACAAATATCTAAAATGTAACCATGATTTTCTAAAAGACAGAAATGAGGCTAAAATATGTAAATATATGAATATGGTATATTCATGAAGAACAGCGTTTTACCTGTGATAAAATCACCAGATCTGCATACATTCAATATACTGTACTTTAGCTCCCATATGAAACAGCAGTTTAGTTTAAATTTCACATTTAGAATAAAATGTATCACCTGCGAAAATGCTGATTTCACACTTCTTTTTAAAGAAAACAAAATTCTGTGTGCAGAATTTTGATAAATATTATACAGCTGACAGTTCTAATGTTTTGAATATTTCACATATGGAAACATCATGCATGCTTGGAGTTTCTACTTGCTTCTAGTTTTCATCAGTGCATCGTTATGCAGCTATTGTACTATTGACAAACTGCTAGGCCTGGCCTCAAGGCCATCACAGTACCTGACTCTCAGACAGCGAACATGCATCCATAACGTACACATTTTAAAAGTTTTTTACAGAATGTGAGCTGAGAACATGCAGGTGGCACAAAATTTACTGCAAAGAGAGTAAATGTAACTGGTTTTGTCTACGCCTAGTCTTATCGTCATGAAATCTAGGTCATCAACAATAATGTTTTGTTTAGCAACAGACAAAAAAAAACCCACACGTGTGGCATGAAACAGCATGACATGAAATGACATGAAACAGCATGTTGTTATTTCCCTTATATGGGTGTGTCTGATTTTTAAACATTTCACATTAAATGTCCAGCCTGTTTCCATCAGGCATCAAATTTTCATGCCATCAAGTAACTTTTGCCTCTCATACCGATATTGAAGAACATCTGTGGCATTAAATGTTATACTGCATTTTATATGTTTTGGAAATTTTGGATGTGATGCTGTACAAAAATGTTGTTGTTTTGTTTTACTTTTCTCCAAGCAAGAAAAATGAATCAAAATATTAGTGATTAAGAATAGAAAAATAAAGAGGAGGCACAAATATATGACAATTTAGGTTTTTAATTAATGTATTAAGAAAATGCTTACACTGTTTTAGCTTTTTGCTCCATAATCTAACTTTTCTATCCTCACAATACTACACAGTGAACTCATTAGTAGCTGTCTACTATCACTATAAAATCTAGGCAAAGTTATGATATACTGCAAAAGCAGTCTGTTTGCTTGGCCTGCTACTACTACTGAAATGAACAAATTGGCTCTGTTTATTATGGTTTTTTTCCTCTCATCTAAAAATGCCTGCATACTGTTAATACACCAGCCAGCAAAATGTATCAAAGCTGTTAACTGTCTAATGATTTGGGTTTTTTCAGTCATGGCACATTTATAAGACAAACAACACCTGCTTCATGATATATTTTTTTTGGATTTATTTGTCTGAAAGAGACAATGGAGTCAAACAAGGGATGCGTAGTGAGATCTAACAAAGACAGATGGTGCATGGAGCAAAGGTATAGAGAGGAGGAAGCAGGAGGAGGTGGAAACAGGGAGTGAAGCATGGAGAGAAGAGAGGAGAAGGACATGGCAAAGAAGATGCCCAGTAGGTGGGAAGGAGAAAGGAAACAATATGAAGGAAGACATTAGGAATCTCCCCAGCTGTTTGTGTTAACAGGGGGAATTTGCCAGCTCTTTTTGTTTCCCTCTGTCAGCATCCCTTATCTTACTAACAAAGTGTCTGGTGCCCTGAAAGCTGGGGCCTGAAGCCTGGCCCCAAAGCCAGCCAGCTGTGCCTTAGAGGAGCACAGAGTCATTGATATGGTGAATTACCTTCTCTTATGGTCATGCTTCACTTTGCGTCCATCCTACCTCACATCATAGGACTGTTTTACACATGCCATGGGAGCTAGTGCCAAGCCAGTGTGTGTTTGAGCTCACACTCAAGAGCCTATCTCATCAGACACCCTCTCAGATAGGCCTTATCAATAGGTAAAAGATGCCAAGTGCTGCAAAGAGTTATCCCTCCTCTGTTCTTTTCCCCAACAGGAAGAGCCTTATGTGATGTTCAAGAAGTCTGACAAGCCTCTGTATGGAAATGACCGCTTTGAGGGCTACTGTGTAGACCTGCTGAGAGAGCTGGCCAACATCTTGGGCTTCACTTACGAGGTTCACCTGGTGGAAGATGGGAAATATGGTGCCCAGGATGAGAACACAGGCCAGTGGAATGGCATGGTCAAGGAGCTAATGGACCATGTAAGTTTTTAACTGTATTATTAAAAATGGTGCATGAATGTGATGCCTGCAAACAGATGCCTACTTCCACCTATTCCTAGAGGATTGTGCCAACTTGTGCAGTTTATGACTTATTTTCATAGTTGTGGCCAGTGGTTATTTTAGTTATGACTTTATTTAGAGGTAAAACAGAAAGTACACATATCAGTTTAACCAACCCATCATTGCATGCCCTACTACATACTCATTCTAAGTGATAATTCTATGTAGTATGTTCACATGGAAAAGTGTCAAAGGTACACATTCTAAAAGTTAAGCCTGTAGACCACTTTAGTTTTGACTCTACTGTCAACAAAGAAACTGGAACAGCTCACAGCTTCAAAACATTTCCATAAATTGCCCATGGTGGACAGCTACATAAAAATTTCAGAAAACAAATAGGAAAGCCATTTTGGTTTCTTTCATAAAGCTGGCAATGACAGTCTAAAGTGACAGTTTTATTGCTTTCAGATGAAACATGTTGTATCACTTTCTTTTAGTATAAAACTGTAGGAAATTTTAAAAACCTATACCAATTCGAAGTAATAATTTAGTTTCCTTTCAAAGAAGTTAAATATAATATGGGGCTACTTACAGCCTCTCTGCCCCATTGGAATTTTGGTGATATTGTCATCTTTCCAGATCTCAGCATTTAGCATGAGGAGATTTTTTTTTATTATTTAAGTCAGAATAAATTGTAGTTATTCTCTGATAAATACAACATTGTGAGCAATCAGTAAAAAGAAGAGTATTATCCTATGAAATTTTAAAAATGCATCAGCAAAGTGGGGAGCAGCAGGTAGAGGGCATGGCCTCATGACTACAGGTGTGATGTGGAGGGTCAGATGACCTGAGGGGCATTGACCACTGCTCAGCATAGCATGGACAGAATCAGAACTAACAGCCATGAGAAGCTGCTATCAGATGTTCCTTTTCTCCAGTGGAGAGACAGGGGGTCTGGTGGAGCTTGGACAATCCCAACAATGATGTTTCGTCCCTTTGAGAATCACTGTGCAGATCCCTGTCTTGTAGCTTAGCTAGTGGTGCCACTATGCGAAGCTCTGTGGTGTGTATGTCTTTCACCTGTAAAATGTCAGTAGCCCTGCTGTTTATCACAGTTAAAGTTAAAATTCTCTTCCGAGTACTACACCTCATTCATATACAATGTAAGGTTATTTTTTCAGCTCTTATAAAGCTTGCTAATGCTAGTGTGCTAACATAGTTGGTGGGGGAGTGGTAGTGGTGTGGTGGTGGTGGTGGTGGTGGGGAGGCTATGAAAAGCCATGGAGTCTTGCTTATGTTGTCACAGTAAGGGAAGAGCCAAAGGATTTGGCAAATCCAAACTAATCAAAGCTGACAGAAACCAGCTAACACACAATATTAACTTTATTGAAAAAAATCACCTGACAGCATATGTTGACAAAATGTTATGTTATTATGTGTACAGATAAAAATTGTCGTGTGTAATTGCCCTTTAAAAATGATTAAAAAAAATAAGGCAGGATGTTCAAGAAAAAAATATAAATTTACAATTAAACCACTGGGTTAAAAGAAATATGTTATTTGCTGTCTATTCTAGCAATTATCAAAATTTTCATTAAACTTTGTATTTTCTTGAAAGCCACATCCTGTTTGCATCCTGTCCAGACTAGGCCACAAAAAATCAAAAGCAAACAACCACCAGTCCGAAGCTGCCATGTTCAGCTCTAAGGCAGCATTTCTGCAGCACAATCAAGGGGCGAGGCTCATAGTAGAGAGATAGTCCTAACCGCAGCTGACAAAGCACTAACTTTACACAAAACTCCCTAAGTAATTGAACACTAAGGTAAAATTATGAGCATGCTAGGTTGCTAATCTTACCAAAAAACATTTGCTTTATATGCTCGTAGATCCAGAAGGAACAACATTACATCTAAATCAAATTTGAATCCTTTGGCTGCGTTGTCGCTCTCCATCTCAACAAGTCAAACCTTGGGTTTTGCTCTTTGTCCCAATCTCTCTGTGCGAAAGAATGCAGCCTCTTTGCTCTGGCAGCCACTCTTTTGGACATATAGCGGATGAGAGATCCTTTGTGGCTGGCTGTTGGAAATGACGACTCAGGTTCAAAATCACAGTTTTGTATTCAAGTCAGTAACCCTCAAGGCTCGGGCCCCCAGTGTTCAGACTCGAGTCTGAGACCTGGACTCAACTACTACAACACAGCGAAATATGCTTCTCAGAACCTTTGCAGGGTGGCAGGTGGGGTTAATGTGCGAACCAACCATCAAAACAGCTCCTTTAAATATTTGTGTAAACTGTCGCATCAACACATATTACCATCCAAAATTTTGATTGGAAATTGCCAAATTTAAAGGAAATGAGGGGAGTATTACTCTGAAAAAAACATAAGAGGGAAAGAAATTGGAAAAGAAAGAGGAGGGAGGTAACACTACTGTATTTGAGAGTACAGTGATGCAAGGAAAGCATAGAGTTTGTTGTGAGCTCTTTCCCCTACAGAGCTTGTTAAAACACACACACACAGAAGTATACGATTTGCTCACAGCATAGACCATTACACCCGACAAAGTCCCAGTTAGGATAAACTGCATGGGCAGAAAAATAGCAGTCGCTGCAGGGGCAATAGTCAATGTCTGACCCCATTAGAAGCAGCAGCCACAAGGGGTCACCTCCTCCAGACTTGTCTTCTGCTTCTGCTCTTAATCAATGCAGCAATTGGCTGTTGTGACAGATAGTCTGGTCTTTTTATGGGTGAAGTGCCCAATCCCCTGCGAACTGATGTTCAGAGTGGGTTTGCCTCATTTCTTGCACAGGGTCCAGGCTTGACTTAGACACATGGTTATGGCAGTAGACAGGGCCTCAGAAGACTGGAAAGTGTGGACTCACAGAGGAGAACTTCAGCTAAGGAAGGAATACTGAATTGAGCTGAAAAAGCTGGAAACATCCTGTCAAAGTTATCTTTGGTCTGTCTAATGCTCGAAATTGAGTAGACATCCTGATGTATTTACACTGTATAGGGATGCTTAAAAATAGTCTGGATAGATTCAGAGATGCCTGACATCAGCCCAGCTTTTCATGTGTCACAGCTTTGAGCAGGAAACTCAATCAATTCATTCTCAAATGATATATGACAACCTTCATAAGACAAAAAGGATATATCTTTGTGAAATGAACCGCTTGACCTTGCTGTGAATGTTAATCATTTACATTCACAGTGCAGCCTGAGATTTATTAACTGTCATGAGCAAAACACAGTTTTCACCCCAGCTAGGGTAAAATAACCCAGGGAGGCGACAGTGGTGCAGTGGGTAGAACAGTTGTCTCCCAACCAGGTTGAAGGTTTGACTCTCAGTGCCTCCAGTCTATGTGTCGAAGTGTCCTTGGGCAAAACACTGAACCCCCCTGATGGTTAGAGCCATCGGTTGAGTTGGCGCCGCAGATGGCTGCCATTGGTTGTGTACCAGAAACAAATTCCTTGTGTGTAACATACTTGGCCAATAAAGGTGATTATCATGTCTGTGCAGATTCTCAGTCATCCAGGTCATAGTAAGCTGAAAAAAATGTAGAAAAAATCAACTGGAATGGATTTCTAGGTCGAAGACATTTCACCTCTCATCCAAGAGGCTTCATCAGTTCTGACTGACTGGTGTTGAGCCGGAGATATTTATCCCCCTCGGTGGTGTTTCACCACAGAGACTGTCAGGGCAGTGAAGAAGAGACTGCTGAAGGATGGCACAATAAACAACAGGACTAACCTCACCCCAGACCATGTATGCACTCTGCTGGAACTCTGTTTAAACACTACCTACTTCCAGTTCAGGGGGCACTTCTATAGGCAGCAACACGGCTGTGCGATGGGCTCCCTGGTGTCTCCTACAGTTGCCAACCTGTACATGAAAGAAATTGAGGAGAAAGCCCTGTCTTCCTTCACTGGTACCGCTCCCAGCCACTGGTTCCGCTACTGTACGTGGATGACACATGGGTTAAAATCAGGACCCAGGAGGTAGAGGCTTTCACCAAGCATATCAACTCTGTAGATGGCAACATCAAGTTCACTCGTGAGGATGCCAGAGATAACTGTCTGGCCTTTTTGGATTGTGCAGTCCACTTGGGAGGGGACAGAAGCCTGAAGGTTCTTGTACCCGGTACTTTTTACCACGCTAACTCTGAGAGACGAAGCAGTCCAAGTAACTTCAAAACAGTGCTGATTTATTCAATGAACACAGGTAAAAATTAACATTACAC